GACAGTTCTGCTCTATAAACATGTTAAAAAATGCGTCCTTAAAGGCAGGGAGGAAGCCTTCTTTGTTAATATAGAAGACGCGTTGGCGTGCCAAGTCTCTAACGCGCTGGGAGTACCTGCACTTCAGCGGCGAGAAGCAGACCACATTAAGCAGCTAGAGGATGTGCAATGAATAGGGGGGCATACAGAGGGTTAGGATCTTGTGTTTAAGGCAGTAGTCCTTGAAATGCTAGTTAAGGTGGCTCTTATAGCTGTCTAAAATAAGCAGCTAGTACCCCCCCACCTAGCGCGTCTTTGTATGCGCGTTAAAGTGCTTCAACTACTCTAGACCAAGTGCGTTGTTTGTCTAGCTATTCTTAGAGACTAAGAGCTTCTAATTACGCGGTATTAAAGCCTCCTTGTACCAGGCAGAGATGTGGACGCGTCCCTTGTAGATGATGAAGGGCAGGGTCGCGTACCCAGCAGTGCAGATGCTCTGGATAACTGTAACCCACTCGCGATCGCCTGGCTGAACAAGCACAGGTTGGGCGTGTCTCTCTGCACCTATGACAACCTTTATAGAGCTAATCACGCCTATCTAGAAGCTAGTCTTATTAAAGTTGTGCATGTTGTTATTGTAGACGCTATACTTAGCTTTAGTCTCCTCCACTAGCTTAAACCACGCGCTAATTATCTCTAGATCCTCCTAGAGTATTCTCTGCCTATCCTTTGCTTGATTAAAGGCCATTTTGAGCTTAGGCGAGCGCGTTACAAAGCGATCAGCCTAGCACTTGCTAATAGGCTTGCCACCGCGTACAGCCAGCAGTTTATCAGCCATATCTGCCACCTCGCACAGCCAGGGCGCAAATCCTCGCAAGTCGAGGTTGAGTATGTATTGGATGATCGTCTGCTGTTCAGTTGCAGTGAGCTTCTGGCAGTTGGGGGCAGCTTCTGCGCGAAATGTGAGTCCTTGGACGCGACAAGAGAGTGTATGGCGATCAACGTTAAATGCCTCTGCAGCAGCCTGGTGGCTTTGGAATTGTCTGGATTTCAAGGCTTCAATAGCAAGCTGAAGCCTCCCTTCATGTTCAAGTAATAACGCGTTTGGTAGTTGAGGCATGTTAGAGAGAGAGAGTAGGTAGAGGGCTTGGCAAGTTTTGGGACACTCGGTGATGTGGGACACTCGGTGATAGTTTAGGTTAAAGCTTATAGATAACTCCTTTACCTAGTTATAGTTACAGCTAAGGCTAGCGTCTCTTAGCTTATTAAAGGTAGTGAATTAATGCTGCACTAAAATGCGCTTTCAGCTGCTCGCATTACTAAGTTTAAAGAGCAATTAGTAGTTATAAGTAGGCGGAAGTTGCGCAAGTAAAATTAGATTTAACATAGTAGTATACTTAAGTACAGCCTAGCAGCCTCACAGGTAGCTGCTAAGGTGTCTGTAGTAGCTTAGCTGTTAAAGAAGACTTGTAGTGTAGATACTTAAGAAAGGACCTATTTAGCCTAACACCACTGTACAAACTATAGAGGCACTAGGCACAACGCTTAAACGTGTTAGAATAATACAGGAGAAGATTTTAAATTTAATACAAGTACATAGTATGCTAGATTTCTGTTTAATAGCAAGTAATTTAAGTTACTATAATATAAGTTTAGTTTGCTAAGAGTTTTTGACCAGTTTGGTGATAGGACTAGCTTGGTGATAGAGTACATTAACGAAGGTGTAGGGTGAGTCGCCCACCAGGGCAAGTCGCCCACTTTTGCCAAGACCCTCCCCCATCAAACCCTATTATAGCCCAAAACACCACAAACTAGCGCTGCACAAGGTGAAACAAGCTGTAATATTACTTAGAGACCTTATTAATATTGTTCTTACACATTTGCGCATTATATCTACTGTAACGGGCTAGGCCCGATGGTAGCGCCTCGGCTCTCGCCGGCCTCGGCCAACCTCCGAGAGGAGGTGCCTGCCCAGCTGTACCCCCAGTCAGGAGGTCCCAATCTTGACTAATTGTGTAACCTCTGCACGGAGGACATAAAAGTCTGCAGACCTCTGCCTGCAGCCACTCCTTAATAAATCTATTTAATTCATACTTGCAAATAGCCTGCAG